AGCAATTAAAACAATTACACAACTTCCTAATCTTGCCGAAAAAAAAATTAATTGTGACCATTTAATATTTCCGTCTGTCAGTTCAAACCGGCCTATGCGTATATCAAGGGACCTTGTGGATTTCGGTTACAATTTCACAATGTCCGTTGATTCTACAAACTGACCTTTTCATTGCCATTGTAGCCGAAGTGTGTACAGGATGTTTCATAAATATGGAGCAAACATTCCTGGGACCATTCCAAGAATACTTCGTCCTGTAGTGATTTTCGTAAAATTATATCAAGGCAAGAAAAAGTTTATCCATTCATGTAGTTTGAATAAAAGTATGGTGTTAGAGGACAAGTGGGATTATCACTTCTGCCGTAAAATCATATATCCTGGGGTAAAAAATTCAGCGGATCCGTGAAGATGAAGGCATAATCGGGTCCATAAACAGCTCTCCAACTAAAGAGAGCTCTGATGACAAACTTTTTAGACCCAGAACTTATCTCAGAGTGAAACGCTACTGTATTTCAAAAATTGCTAGTTCGAATATTCTAAGTATTTGGATCAATGCGGATCGTTTTGTCCAAAAATCAAGTAACTCCAATGCATCTAATGTGAAATAGCATAGGATTTCACTTGCATGGTCAAGTATTGGTAGCATAAATCATGCAAACCCCCCTCCCCCCCAAAAAAAAGGCAAGAAACGCATGACGCTGCCCTGAACAATGGCCATATAAATATTCCCGATGAATGGAAGGAACTACTGTTCAACTTCAACAACGTTTGAAGTTGCAACATATCTTAAAGCTTTTTTTAAATCTGCTTTTGTTGGCAAAGAAAAATATAAGTTTAGCATTTCAACCTACCGAATTTTCCAGTATCAATAAGGATTCAAATATGTTGAATGCAGTATTGCAACATCCATCCCAGTTTTTACAAGGTTTTATATAGGAAAAGAAAATGTGATATTGTGATTTCCAAGTTCACATATATTTTACAATCCTATCCTTTGCATCTTAATGAAAAGAAGGCTGCTTAAACTTTTATCATCAAAATACGTTTGGCCGCCAATCTATGGTTCTATCGAAGGATCACCGGAGAATCCGAAAATATTGTTATAGAATGGTTTTCTTTTCCATGATTTTAAAACAAAATATTCAGTGACAAATTGATTAAGGCTTCCGCGGCCAGTTGATAAACTGCTGTCTTGATTCGGGTCTAAAGGCCTAAATCCTCAGAAACGCTCGAGCAGTGCCAATCGACATCCGGAAAAAGCCACGTTACCTACCCTCCGGTATAAATACAACCTGCGCAAGAGAAATCGCCAGTCTACATCCAGCATTGGAAATGGAAGGGCCTCTGAAGAAGCTTGCCACTCGTGCTAGCGAAACGTTAGGAAGAAATTCCAACCGACGACGGTTTTAGACCCGAATCGAGACAGCAAAATATTCAGTTTTTTTTATTAATTTTCCAAAAGTTTCTATAATATGATTTACCTGGTTTTTCCACCGAGGTCTTCAATTGTACAAATATATATAGAATGTTTTCACTCGTTTTGAACTGGAAGACTTTGGAAGATGCTGCAGTAAAACACCAGGAAAGGTATTCACATTCTCAAAAACGCTAAGCACTTTGAAAGTTACACGCAAATGTGAGGTTATTTTCATAGTGCGCAAGTAGATGGAAATCTGAAAACCGCAATGTGCAATTTTTTGTTCAACTGAATTAAACTTTTCATAGCAAAACTCAAAAATAATTTCCAGGCCAATTTAAAAATGTCATCTTTCTGGTCACACACTTCCTCCTCTTTGCTCTCTCCCTTTCTTTCTGTAAGCTCCCACGCAAAGGCGAAGAAGTATTGTAATCGTGAAACATTTCGAAAATGAGATTTTATGATTTTGGTTGTTATGAGAACTACTAAGAAAATACATGCCACTTGATTTCGTCAGTCCGCTAATCCTTGGCCTGTCTATAACTCGGAAAGAACAGATGATTAAATTTTCACACAAAATTACTATGTCAAGGAGGAAAAAGCTTAATAGATTTTGAAAATCGGTTCAGTGGCGGCGGAGCTAGCGGCATAAAAAGACTGAAAAAATAAAATTCGTTCAAGCTACTTTTTTGAGGTTTCAGGGGCTGAATATCATTTAAAAAAAATGTAGGGTCCAGTGTGAGGAACTCTTCAATTCAAGGAATCAAAACTATCAATCCTCGATAGAAGAGCCTACTATGTATACTAAGTGACATATAAATCCGAACACCCACTTTAAATGGTTTTATTTTAATAACATTTTGTATAAGTACTTAATGAAGCAGAATAAGTAAATGATAAAAATTTCAAAATGATTGCACTGCTTTAAAGCCCTTTGACCTTTAATAATGTGTGGATGCACCCTGATGTGCTACGCATTCTCCAACGCGCCTAGACATGCTTCTGATCAGGTGGTCAATGTCCTCCTGTGGTATCTCATTCCAGGCAACCACCAACTCCTCTCGAAGTGGTTCTAGAGTCTGAGGAGGACGTTGCAAATTGAGCAATCTCCTACCCATCATATCCCACACGTTCTCAATTGGGGATAAGTCGGGAGATCTTGGTGGCCATGCTAACAATGTGACATCATTATGTTGAAAGAAGTCTATTGTGACTCTTGCAACATGTGGTCGGGCATTATCTTGTTGGAAAGTTGGATCTGCCAGGGTGTCAAGATAGGGTAAAAGATGGGGTTCTAGAACTTCGTGGATATAACGCTGCGCGTTCATGTTACCTCTGATGAAGATTAAAGGTGACCTGGAACCATAAGCTATAGCACCCCAAACCATAACTCCAACAGTGTGATGAACATGTCTTTCAACAAAAAACTGTGGATTCCTCCTTTCACCACGTCGCCTTCTAACCCTGGCACGACCATCGTGCATGCCTAAACAAAATCGAGACTCGTCACTAAAGACAATACTGTTCCATTCCTGATCCCAGAGTGACCGTTGTCTGCACTACTCAAGGCGATTACGTCGGTGTTCTCGAGTTAAAGGGAGGACCCAGTGTGGCCGGTATGAAAACAAGCCAAAACTTCTCATTCGTCGGTAAACACTTCGCATGCCAATAGGTCTTCCGTGTTCTGCAAGCCATTCATTTACAATGGACCTGGTAGTGGAGAAACGGTCCCTTAAGGCCAATAATCTTAGGCGGCAATCTTCACGGTCTGTTGTTCTACGGCGGCGTCCAGTGCCTCTTGCTCTTTGCGTACGGCCTTCTCGAAGCCATGCCTGACAACACCTAACCACAGTGTCTACACTTCTTTGCACTCTAACTGCAATTGCCCGAAAAGAAAGTCCAGCTTCCCGAAGTCCCACTATACGACCCCTATCAAACTCACTAAGTTGACGAAATCGTACAGGTCTCCGTACTCTAGGCATCGTAACCGATCGTAAAGGACGTCAAGAACCAAAATCCGCCAACGTTGATTCTTTACTGCGGCTGAAATATTCATTTTTAGAGCGTTAGTCAATTAAAAAAAAGCAGTATAAAAACCGGAATGTCCAACTGATAAGGCTGAAAATTTTTTCACTTGTTATTTACAGTAAGATAAATACATTCACCAATTTTTATTAAAATAAAACCATTTAAACTGGGTGTTCGGATTTATATGTCAGTATATTTTGTCGTATATATCAATTAACTATTAATTAAGAATGCGCACATAATTATTATCGTTCATTTTTTATAAGCTTGTGAGAACTTTTTTGCAATAGTAATGAATGAAAGTTCACGGAAAAGTGAATCTTGGAAAGTATAAATATATTATGCGCATTTCAAGGTAATTAGGTTAATTCAGTTGGAAAAATGCATCAAAAACGGAGTGAATGCAGAACCTCCGAACCATGTGAATTATTATACAGTCAAATTTTCTGATTAGAAATGCATAATATGCAAATTATACAATTGTACGTAATCGGTTCGTCATGTTGGGATCCATCTTTGGAAACATCCGGTTTCAATCATATGAAAAAAATGCGAGCTTATCGAAAAAGTATGGTTGTCTTCCTATGGGCTGCTTTGCTTAACGCTATCAGGTCGGAGAATTGCTAGTTGTCTTTCAAACTAGGACTTTCGTATTTTGTTATATTTCTTATATGGTAGACCTCAGAATGGAGAGCAAAACTGTCTATGTAACCAAATTGTTTTACACGGTTAGTTAAAGAGATATTATAGTATTTATTTGCTTTCTCATCACTGATCATATGACAGCTGACAATCTCAGTATCTAAATAAATTTATTGTTTTATATGTCCCCTGTATGTAAGGGCCCCTGGGACCACAGCAAGCTTGAGGCCCCAGGCCAAAGACGAATCCAGGGCCTCATTTTGCCGCAGAGGTACTCAGCGGTACTCAGACTTTGATTTTCGGTCATTTTTTAGCTCCCCATCAAGCCGGGGAGCTGAGCCTGGGCCCATCGAGTCAAGGCAAAATAGTGAACTAGAAGTGACCCCCCTTAATTAGTCTGTTACATAGCGTGATGACTGGTCATTCCACCATTCTAGGGACTTTTCCTCTGATCAGTCTTTGAACTATTTAAAGAGAGTTCTTGTTAAATATCTGCACTTATTATGCGAATACAGCGGATCTTTTTCCGATATTTGCCTTCTCATTTCACTTGTGCCCTGGTAACCACTTTACCTAATTTCCGTTCTTCAGCTCTTTGAAAGTATTAACGTAAAAATATAGCGTAATTTCAAACGCCAAGTTTCTTCAACGAAAGTAGGATTTTTTAAATTTCATTAGAAAATCAACTGTTCTCAGTGCTTTTAAAGAATGGCATCTAGTAGATTGACTCTTTGTTCCCATGGCGCTATAAAAATTGTTCAGAGCGCATCATGCTACCAAAAGTAGCAAACTTGAAAAAGCTCACAACAAATCAACTTTTTAATGGTAAATCCAACTCAAAGTTGAAGCATGATTCGTTTTGTAAGACATCGTAGGAGGCGTGGATGTTATTTAAAACTGAAGACAAACTTACAGACTGAATATAACTCCAATCGTTTTCGTTACAATGCCCATCTTCCGAATTTCAAGGCATCACTACAATCCAGTCCGATTACCAATTCAGCCACAAAACCACATAATATCCAATCATAAACAGGATCTACTATCCACATGTGCGATTACACTTTTAAGCTTTCATCTGCTTCAAGTCGTGCCGCACTTCAGTATTATGAAAATCCTTCGTAATTCTGGAAATCCTCGAAAGAAATCAACAGTTAATCGTTCATGTTCCACCTGACACCGGACAAATGCAAGTCTACGTGTGTCCATCCGAAAAGAAGAGGAAAACCTCGAGCAAATCAAGCGTGCGTTGACCGATGCAGCAATGCCGGTTGATCGTCAGCTGTTCAAAGCTCGGCTCGCGCTAGCCCATGGCCTACCGGGATAGAAGAACGGACGGCGCGCACTCACTAAAAGTTCGGCGAGAATGAAAACAGAAGAGCATCAAGCCGCGTTGTGGCGTGAACGACGCCGACGCGTTGACGGAAAAACGACGCTTGGCTCAACGTGTGGCTAGGCGCTATCGCAGTTAGCCACGACAGGGGTGGGGATGATTGTAGCTTACCGCTGAGGATAATGTGAGCCCCATGGGTTTGTTTTTAAGTTCAAAAGGTCTGGGAGAAGAAAAAATGGCATTATGATTTTGGACTACACGTGGCTCCATGTATAATAATAATAATAATGTTTATTGTCACAAAATACAGGTAAATATTAAATATTGTGTACAATAAACATAAATCACCCAAAAAAGTTTGCACTTGTGTTTGGGTATGTTAAAAATAAAAACTAAAAGTACAGTCAGTGCATGAAAAAAAACTAAATACTGTATAATTTGGTGAATCGAATTATTATAGTGATGTCAGGAAAAATATCCAGACAATTATAACTAAGGCCCGTATCGTCAGTCGTCCCTACAACTGTAGGGCGCCTTTATGGCCTCCTTGATTGTCATAGTTTTCTACTTCTCCGTGTCAGAACTCTATTTTGTGGTTATGTCACAAACATCTATTTGCATCAAATTGTGCTTGCTTTTGAGTTATATCATGTTTTATCAGCCTGAAATTTCCTACAATTTAAAAAGAAAACATATCTTCACAATGACACGGGACAAGTGTAATCTAGAAATTTTTGAAGGAGAGAAAGGAGTATGACAATCAAGGAGGCCATAAACGCGCCCTACAATTGTAGGGACGACTGATGATACGGGCCCAAAGTAAAAGTATGGATGCTAGTGTAAGTAAAATATTATTGATTTTGATAATGATTTTTCATATCTACAATTTCGTGGATTACATCAACCTTTTTGTAATTATTATTCATAACGCCCTCCAAGCCAAAATTGTTGCTTTGTTAACTTCGCGCATTTATTCGCACATTGTTTATTTGTTCAGATCTTCTATTAGTTATAGGTCTAAGTGATTTCAAATATGTATTTTTTACGACTAGGGTGTATCTAAAATGTTTTTGAGAAAATAAATTGTTTTAGAAGTAAATAGTTTCGTCATGTTTAGTTTATAAAGGCATATTTTGGTACAAATCTTGAAGTGGGCCAACTGAAGAGGGAAGGGGCTCGTATTAGCATTTTGGGATAAGAAACTCTCAACCTTTTCAAAGCAGATTTCTAATTAGGAGAAGACGAACATAGCTTCATGTCAGATAATTTTTTGTCAGCTAGAATACTTTAATCAATTAGTCCTACTTTTCAGCTCACGTTCTTCTTTATGCCCCATAGGACGATATGGTCTTAGAGGCAGTGCTACTTACACAAAATGACCGCAGATTTGAGAAAGATCTGTAACGTAAGAAAAGTCAGACAAGTTTGGACTTGTAAAATGGAGACAAATCGGTGCATTTTATAAAGTTTACATAATGAAATAGATGTAACTACATCTGGAAGTGGACCAAACCACCGCAACCCATAAAGTTTACAGCATTGCAATAAAAACTTTGTTCTGACAGAGTAACTCAACTAAACAACCCAGTCTTTTCTAAAGTAACCTTTTCATCTGGAGAATTAGAAATCTGTTACAAATTTGAAGAGAAAAGTATCGATATGACAATCATAAAACGTCTAATACGAAGATTATAAAAATGAAGCACTTGCTTTGAAGTAAAAGGTAAAAGCAAAACGTTTTACTTCAATTGGCATCCATAATCACCACAATTTTCCCTGCAAGGCAATGATTCAAATAAATAAAGTAAAAGGTAAAGTTATATCATCAAACAAATCATTAGAGATGGCAGCATCTACTGTCCTCTAGGATATTGTTCCGCCCTTTGCATGATTTCACGCATTGCTGAATTCTTCTTTGCGCGATAATCATGAACAGATTCCAGACCAACAGTTAGAACAAAATTCTAGTGGCACATTAAGACTTGTAACACATTTCCGATTTACATATTTGTCTTAAAATTGGTCTGGTTTTCCAATGCGAATGTGCGCGCAGTAAACAGCTGTGATAGTTGTTGGGAAATGGAACCTGGGGCCGGATCAAAAATACCAGGCAACTCCGAAATTAATTTTTACGAGCAAAATTGAGTTTGGCCTCTGATCAACCACTTCTCCTTAACCTACATGATTTAATTTTCTGGCCCGTTGCATCAAGCACTCCGTGAAACATTCAATTCATTGTTTATACAGGGTGACTTCGAAGTTGAGTCATTTATTTTAACAGTGAGTAGATCTGATCAAAAGAAATGCTTTTTTCCTTTACCATTTTTCTGGTAAAATTAAAGTAACAAAGTTATAGCCCTTTGGAAGTTTGAGTACCGCCCTGTCTCAATGTGCTCGTGTTTGGCGACAACGGATATAATCCGTCGTATCGGTTCATCGCATCGGAAACAAAAAGCGAAAGAATTTGGAACGAATTATTTCATTCATTTGTATACAGTCAGTGTCAGTGAATAGTTGTATCTGTTGCGTGGCTCAAACGAAATAAAAAATGGCACATGTTTATGCGGATCGGTTTCCCAATCGAGTGCAACCAACCCCTCGTGCCTTTGTTAATGTAGTACAACGGGCTCGTGAATCAGGTGACTTAAGACCTCACAGGGGACCTCACGATCAAATACAGGTCCGCACTGAAATACTTGTCGGGAGGATACTTTATAAAACAAGGTAAACAATTTTTTTTAATTTTTTTTTTATTTTTACACACATATTTTGGTTTATATTCCTTCTACAATCATTATCTGAAAATTAATGACTCAACTTCAAAGTCACCCTGTATATAAACTCAAAGGCATACTCATGTATGTAACATGATCTATACAAAATAAAGGATTCAAATTGAAACAGAGTAAAATATTCGAGACCCTGTAGGTTGCGAACATGCTAATCCTTCAGCAATTCCGGTTTGGGATCCAGGGTTCGCATTATTTTGCATTATTACCCAGAAATACTTCAATTTCTAGCAGATGAGCCAAGGCTGCTCCACGAGTTTTGGGATCCACACCAAGAAAGTGGGCTGTCAACCAGAACACACTCTCATCCTCAAATCTAAATAACGATTTGGAATCTGATTCACACGGTATACGTCTTGGTTTATAGTATCTTCTAGTACGTAAATGCATCTTATTAGCCATACTAAACACAAAACTATGACCACTCGATATTACACAAGCCCTTCTTGGCAGACTTTAATATATAAAAGCACTTATGAATACAAAATTTTGCATTGTAAGCTGTGTGATAGCTGGGCAACTACCGAAGAATGAGAAAAGTTGTTTTGAACCTAGATTACTTTCTTTAGAATCAAATGCTTTAGTTTCTGGGCAAAAGCTTCTTTCTATAAATACGAAGAACCTAAAACCTCGTATTTTATAACAAAATCTTCGAAGCAAAACATCTTCCTTCCCTTTTTATGGACGTACCTTGTAGGAATTGCTTTATTGTTTTAAAGCAAAAGATAAGGCTTTTTTAAATACAGCCTATTGAATCAATTGAAATACGTTGACCAATGTCACGAACAATTGGGCTTGAACTTGTTCTGCAAACTTTCATAATTCTAAGTTGTAATTTAAACAACAACGATAAATATAGAGCAAAGACATAACCACCTTTATTCTTAACATCAAAGGCTACCGCTAAACATACTTAGAAAATACTAACCGTTGCAACATTGTTGCAAAAATGAATGTACGCAAACGTAACGATGAAAAAAATGGAAAGATGGTTTTCTCAGAGTGTTGTATTAGTGAGTTAGAGGTGTTTTGGGATAAACAATTAGGAATTCTCAAAAAACTATTTGCTGTTATTTAGAACTACGAATCCTACGAATTTGAAGAATTTCAAGTAGTTGCGTGAAATTATCGTCGAATTACCAACAAGTGCCGAAACATAACATTTTTGCTATTAGTCGGATGTTTTCACGTGTGGTCTATTTTCGTAGGTCTCTTAAATACCTAAAAATCTTACATGAAAGGTTTTTCGTTCCTGTCAACACTTTCGATTGAATCCCAAAAAACGCATTTTCTCATTCTTTGTTGTCAAATAAGTTCCCACAAGAATTGGTGTTCCCATTGTATGCGCCCATGTTTAAAATACCCCCTTGAAAAACTTGCACCAAAAAAAAACAGACTTTACAATTATTTCGGGGAAATTTGCTAATATGATTAGACTACAAATTTATTAATACACAAAATTCAAAAAGTAATTGAAGTTAGTACTAATAAGGTTAAAATAAGTCACAAGGAAAAAAGCAGAAATGATTGGATGACCAAAGGACTAATAAAATCTGCAAACGAAAAAGAAAGACTGTATAAAATCATGAAATATTTACCCACGAAAGAAAATATAGATCATTATAATCAGTATAAAAACAAATTTATAGAACTTTTGAGAAAAGCAAAAAAAAATTACTATATAAAACAATTGAATAATAATTCACATGACTCTAGACACCTATGGTCCACTGTCAATGATATATTCAATAAGTCATCCTATTCAAAAAACAATATTAATGAAATAAAAACAAAAACAGGACAGAAAACAGACAATAATCAGCAAATATGTGATGAGTTCATAGAATTTTTCACGAATATAGGAGGAAACTTAGCAAATAATATCAAACAAAATGCTGATATTCATCTGCATGAAACAAGACTGAATAATTCATTTGTATTAACTGAAGTAGACTATCAAGATGTTTTCAATGCCATTATGACTCTAAAAAATAAAAAAAGCCCTGGAGTTGACGAAATTAGAGCTGAACATCTAAAGATACTGGCCAAACAAATAACAGAACCACTTGCTTATATCATTAACAAATCCTTCCAATCTGGAGTATTTCCATCAGCTTTCAAGACAGCAATCATCATACCTAGCTATAAATCTAATGATAATACGGACGTCACTAACTATCGACCTATTTCACTTATATCAAGTTTAGCTAAAGTTTTTGAGAAATTACTCCTTAATAAAATGATTAATTTTCTTAATAAATTCAAAATTCTAAATTCAAATCAATATGGTTTTATAGCGGGC